AAGTAAAGAGAAACTTGGTTTCTCTATGATTCCCTCGATCCCCTTAGATAGTGTTCCGATTGGCTATGCTGTTTCTAGGTGACCTTGGTGGCCATCTTGGGTCAAGAACAGTCTTTTTAAGGCCCTACCCCTGAGTTTTGGTGTGCAGTTTGTGAGTGGATAGGGCAGGGACAGGATACCCATCTGTCAGGGACAGCACTAGCGGTAGGGAGAGGTTCCAGAGGAGTAGAGAAAGCTTAGGGCCTTCACCTGCACCTCAGTAAGCTCCCCTTTGGGTTGGACTGGCCAGACAACACTCTGTTCTTCTGTCTCAAGTTTGGGCCTATTCACCAGTGAGTCTCTCCGCTCTAATTAATGCGAGTTTCTTGGGTGTTTTTTTCCGCTGTACTGTTTTACAAGTTCTGCAATACATTGTTTTCCGCAATCAGGAAGTTTGTGTGTTTTCTGCCGCCTGCACCTACCCAACAACCTGTCCTGCTCTGTCATTGCCCCTGCCCTCGCTGCAGTTGGTCAGCAGGATTTGCTCCTTGCTTGCTGTTCAGAAATAGACCTAACAGAAAGAAGTCTTTGGATTATTTCTTTGCATTTTAAATGAAAACTTGGTAGACTTTGTCAGAGGTGCAATGCTGCTTGTATATCCTTATCACCTATTGATTTAGTTATTGTCTGGACTTGCGCTTTATTTAACACCAAAAGAAATAGCGAATGAGTTAGTGTGAAGGGCATGGCATGCACAGCCATGAATAACACTGTACACCATGGAAAAATGATTGAAGTCGCTCATAATTATACAGTCTATAGCCTGTAACAACTAACGCACCTGTCCAGTCATGATGAATTCCCACAAGGATAAAGACAGGCAGGGCTGGAGATGTTCCTTACAAGGGACACTGCTGATGACCCAGCAATACAGAACATCATAAATTACTGATGCTTGCAACACTATAACTTATATTGACCTTACAGCAAGCAGTTTCATGGGATTCTATCAAAGGATTTTTTTTATGAGCTAGGTAAGTTTATATATCTCTCACCCCTTGTATGACCGCTAACATTTCTACAAACGTTTTACCAAAAGAAAAAAAGAGTAGAAAAAGTTTGGCAGTTTGTATATTGACGCGCTAAAATATAAGGTATTAAGAGGTAACTTAAAAAGACCCTGTCACCAACTTAAAAATGCACTGAAAAAAATCTTGAAGTATTTTAATTGTTGTATTAAATCATTTTTAAGCATTCTAAATGTTTACTTGCAGTGTATTTCCTTTCCATAAATTACTTTTTATTCACTTGTCTATGCCATTTAACTTGCTAGAAAATGTGACTACTTGTGGAGAGTCAATTCCTTTTTTTAGAACAGTCCTCTCCTCCTTGCACATCATACTCCTCTTGGAGTATCTGATTGCTGTCTGTTCTGGCACAGCTCCTCGGTCCCAAACCTCACATCCCCAAACTAAAACTTTTATGTTTCTGCTGGGAATCACTAAATGGGGGATACTATAGAGCAGCCTTTCTTAACCGGGATGCCGCCAGAGGTCTTCAGGGGTGCTGTGGCATCCTGGTAGAGAAAGGCTGTCAGTTGAGCCCGAGCTCCCGATCCCTAACCGCACGTCAGCACTGGGAGCCATCAGACTGCTGAGCAAAGTGAAAACAAAAGGAGGGGAGCAGTGGCGGACTGACAACTCATGGGGCCCCCTGGGCAATAGGGGATCATGGGGCCCCTGTGTCCTTGCCCAAACTCAAAAAAGCCGCTAGCTGCAGCCGCCGAGCCCTGTGCATTTCACTGATAGGTTGGCGGAGGTCACAGTTATCTGTGGCTAGTGATTACATGCGGGGATTGCTCCTGGATGTACTTTTATACATCATGTGGTTTTAGCATACTGCTATATGGTCTTTTGTTCTTTTGTACCCATTATTACTTTGAGGTGCTAGCTGTGGATAACCAGTGAAGGATTGTGGAGGAGGTAGAGTCAGTGGTATCCTGAGTGGTGCCCCCCAAATGGGTGATTTCTGCACTGTTAGTCTCATATCATTTGGAGATCATTACGTTTACACGTAGACTTTCATCATTTTTTAAGATTTTGCATCTGAATTTTTAGATATTTTTCTTTGAAGTTTACTTCTTTGTTATTCATAATTGAATTATATGTTATGGGACTATGAATGGTGCACATTGTTCATTGTGGTTTAATACGAGTTACCCTTATTTTTCACATATATATTTTCATATTGAATGCTACCAGGGCTTTTTTTTCATACAAAATAGGTGTAGAAACTCCTTTCAGAATCACCCCTTGCCTCCACCCCCTACCCACCGCTGAGCACCGTATCTTGGCTCCACCCCTACCCACCTCCCAGTACTGCCCCTCTTAGAGAATAGAGAATCAAGTAATATTTTGTGAAAAGTAGTAAAATATTTCTCCTGCAGCCAGCAACAATAGACCCCCCTCAGCAACAATAGACCCCCCAGAAACAATAGATTGCCCCCCACAATAATAGACCCCCCCCAGCAACAATGGAGCCTAACAACAAAATACCACCCAACAACAATAGATGTCCCCAGCAACAATAGCTCCCCCCCAGCAAAAATGGACTCAATGGTATTTTGTTGTTAGGCTCCATTGTTGCTGGGGGTCTATTATTGTGGGGGGCAATCTACAAACTTCAAAGAACAATATCTAAAAATTCAGATGCAAAACCTTAAAAAATGATGAAAGTCTACGTGTAAACGTATTATCTCCAAATTATATGAGACTAACAGTGCAGAAATCACCCATTGGGGGGCACCACTCAGGATACCACTGACTCTACCTCCTCCACAGTCCTTCACTGGTTATCCACAGCTAGCACCTCAAAGTAATAATGGGTACAAAAGAACAAAAGACCAAATAGCAGTATGCTAAAACCACATGATGTATTAAAAGTACATCCAGGAGCAATCCCCACATGTCCCCCGCAGCAATAATCCCCAGCAGCAACAACAGATCTCCCAGTAGCCAACATCAATGGACTTCTCCCTCAACAGTAGCTCCCTCCCTGCAACAACGGAGCCCAACAACAAAATACCACGCAGCAACACTAGACCCCAGCAGCAACAACAGATCTCCCAGTAGCCGGCATCAATAGACTTCTCCCTCAACAGTAGCTCCCTCCCAGCAACAATTGCCCCCCCCCACAGCACAAAAAATCCCCCCCCCCAAGCAACAATAGAGTCCCTACCAGCAAAAATAAACCCCTGCACAAAAATAGATTCCCTCCAGTGACAATAAATCCCCCGGCAGCCAGTATTAATAGACCCTCCAGCATACCCCAAGACCCCTTGCCATTACATGTATTCAATGCTGGAGGTGCCGGAATTGCATTCCCCCATGTTTACAATGAAAGAAAGCCCTAATTACTGCAGATATATTGGTTTTTTGCACCTTTTAGAATAATCACAGAATTTCATAGCCGGCCTGAATTTGGCTCAAGCCACAAAAATGGCTGATTCTGATGATAAATGGGCCACAGCAACTGTGTTACTGATACCAAAGAAAGCCGAGCAGCTAACATTTTCCTACAGTACAGGCTTCCTTTTATAAAAACATAAGTTCTTAATGTTTTGTGCTTTTATTGTCAATGTAACCTTTCCGTCATTTAGAAACAACCAAGGTAAACTTCAACACGTCAACCTACATAACGGGAGTGAGCAATGAGATTCCTCTCGCCTGCTTACATTAACAACTTTCACACTGAGATCTTAGGTCATACTGCTCCGTGTGTATTCCTGATATCAAACATGACCGCAACAGATGCTTAATCCCTTCTTCAAACAGCACAGGCCCGACCAGAACTTACTCAAAAGTCAAGAGCAAATATTTACCTTACAGCAAACATAAGCTGCGCTATTTAAACATCAATCGGCAAGCCAGCGCAAGAGCTGCATTGCATCCACATAATCACAGGAAACGCGCGGCAAATGTTAGATCGGATTTTAGCGTCTAATCTGACGGTGGCAAGAATAAGCCACATTTGTCGGGAAATTGAAAATCTACCCTGTAAAACACAGAGCTTAATCGGAGATGGCACCTGCCATATCTCAGCGAGGAGATTATCTTGCGATGTACAAGGATTTATTCCTATCAGAAGATGACGTCTTTGTAATATTCCCACACAAAATATATTTAATGCAGATTGAGTGTCTACATGAAATCACAAAATCAGTTTTAATTCTACAGTAAGAGCAGTGGCCATTAAAACGGCTTGAAATATTACTTTTATTTTCAATAATAAAGGGACATTACAATGTGACAAAACAATACATTGGTATGGCGTATTTATTTATGGTATAGGAATGAGAAGCCAAAAGCGCATTATATATTAAAAATTATAAGAAGCCTTCTTACTACAGAAAATACCTGCATGTCTCATTTCATCACACATCCCAAAAATAAAGGGATTTTTTTCTTTGTTTTAGGATATTGGATAGAGACAAACAAATGGTTCCAAATTTGTCCCTGGGCCAACTGTGCATCCAAAACCTCTGGCCTTATATACAGTCAATGTTATAAAGTCAATTATTCCAAGCTGTTTTTTTTAGTTTTTGGCCATCATTAAGCTAGATCAGCCTTTCTCAACCAGGGTGCCCAGGCACCCTGGGGTGCCTTGAGGTTTCTTTAGGGGTGCCTTGGCAAAATGTCTACAAATTGCCTAAAACTGGTATACAAGCTAGATGGTGGAACAAGCCTGCCTTTTAGTTGCACAAAGGCACAGGATTTCATTGTGCACCATTACGACCTTATGGCCAGCGTCCTGACAACCAATTCCATCATCAGTTGATAAGGAGGATGTCAACTGCCTGCACAGCATCCTAATTAGACCCTCCTCTGCCCCTCTCCATCAGTGCTGGGGTCACATTAGCTCAGTAATGGAGAAAGGAAACACTGGGATACTAGTCAGTACCAGTGTGCAAAAGTGTATTTGTTTTGGAAGAATAAGTCACCTCTAATGTTGGGTGTCCTACATGTGTGGATGTTGCTGTGTTATATAAAGCTATTAGAATAGTTTTTAGAATGGAGTGCCTTGGGACCAAGGGAGGACTGACAACTCATGGGGCCCCCAGGCAATAGGGGATCATGGGGCCCCTGTGTCCTTGACCACACTCAAAGCACACCCAAAAAAGCCTATAAAAGGTACCAGGAGCATTTCATGGGGCCCCCTATTGACCCTGGACCCTCTGGCAGTGATCGGGACTGTCTATAATTTTAAAGGGTGCCTTAACTGAAAAAAAGGTTGAGAAACACTGAGCGAGATTCACGCGATTGTGTCTTCATTTTCCTGCTTTTCTTGTGCATTTTTGATGTGTGTTCATGAAAATAGGCTCTTGTTTTCATGCTTTCTATTTTTTTGTTTGTACAATGAAGGCCAAATAAAGTATGTGGTAAAATGTAAGAAAATGCATGCTACTTGCATATTTTTGTGCAGTACAAGTCTAGGGGCCAAGAAACGCACCTATATTATTTTTCCGCATGGCAGTGCAGTGCATGTGTCAACAGGCCCCACAGAACAAATTGCTTTTATACTGGCCATAGAGAGTAACCAGAGAGTATTACTTGATAGTTTATGGGAGATGGGCCAAAAAAAAAACCAAGGGGACAAAACTGAAAAATCTGCATAATTCTACCCACTACCTTAAAATTAAGAATCATCCCTTTTTTTAATGGGATGGAATGAGATATAAAGATAACTTTTGTTTTGGGAGGGGATTTTGCATTGGTTTAGTAGACCTTTTGTTTCCTATTGGCTGGCCTCAACATAACCAGCCAGGCTATACTTTTACATTTAAAACCATTAACATGCCACAGGTATGACCTACAACCCATGAGATGTCCTATACGTCTTAGTTTGGAATATATTAGTATTTTTAAAATGTTAAACTCTTTGACTAGTGTCGGTGGTTGATTTACTGCCAGACTAACTTCTCCGTGCACTGGCTAACCAACCAACACAACAATATATGTCCTATTTTTACCTTCTGATAAGTTGTTTTGAACGTTACCTATTCTAAGTTCCTTTTGCACGCGATCGTTATTGACTGTTGTTTGTAGTTACGATACTATTTATGTACTATTATGTGGTTAAAACTGTACTTTGTACTTAAAAAAAAAAAAAAAAAATCAAAAAAAAAAAATTATTGAAAGGAAAACCATTAACATGTACATTACTGTGCAAAAGTTTTAGGCAAAACTGAAAAATGCTGTAAATTAAGAATGCTTTCAGAAATAGAAATGCTAATAGTTTATTTTTATCAATTAACAAAATAAATAAAAAGAATGTAAATGAACAGAAAAAAAATCCAAATCAATCTTTGGTGTGACCAGCCTTCAAAAAACAGCATCAATTCTTCTAGGCACAATTGCTCACAGTTTTTGAAGGAACTGAGCAAGTAGACTTTCAAACATCTTGGAGAACTTACCACAGATCTTCTGTGGATGTAGGCTGTCTCACATCCTTCTGCCTCTTCATGTGATCCCAGATGGACTTGATAATGTTGAAATTAGGCCTCCTTGGGGGGCCAAACCATCACTTCCAGGACTTCTTTGATGAAGACATACTTTGTTTACCCAATATTATTTTCCCTGAAGTCATGGGTTAAGTATCAAGCACTTCAGCCTTTTCCTTACAAACATTCTTGTGTTGTTGGCCATTTAGCTGTTGGGCTAAGTTTTCATGCACTTGTTTTTTTTTTTTTTATGGTGGCTTCTTGGTTTTCCTCTACACTCTTTTTGAGGTCCAACATTTTTTCAAGTAACATTCTTCACTTGTTGGTGTCACCTGCTCTACTCTGTAACACCAGATTCTTTCTTGATTCCATATTTCCATATTTGCCTCCCCTTTTTTATTCTAGCCTTGCTGAGCCATTGATTCCTTTGCCTATTCTTCTAGTAAGATTTTCACATCCATTGAACCCCTTAGTTGGGTTGCTTTTGAATGTCCCTTGTGTCCAGGATCATGATGCAGTAATCTTTCAGGATCCAGGACTTTACAGACTGTTTCTTGGCATCCTTCAGTATCACCAGTTCCTTTGTATCTCAGCACATGGCTTGTTTAAGTCCTCTCTCCCCTCCCCTACTTCCTGTAGCATCACTTCCTACTCTGAGCTCATGAACCAGTCCAACATGTTTGTTAGCTTATGAATAGTGGAATCTTAGCTTCAAAACAAAAAGCATGGTTTTAAAATGTTATTCCATATTTATGCTAAAAAATCATTAAAATAGTCAAAGCAACACACTGATAAAGAAAATAAGGTATTTGTAACTACTATAAAATTGCTTTCTTGAAGTCCGCAGGGACACAGGTCCTGCCAAACATGACAGCTGGTAGCAAGTTATATGAGAGATGGGTTCATTTTTTTGTTTGCCGGTATTCAAACCTACTGAAGGTGGCAGTATGACGCATATGTACAAGAATGACTACATTCCTGTGTCCCTCAAGGGACTTCAAGGATAGCATTTTTTAGTAAGAACAAACATTTTATTATTTTAGAATATTTGCCTGGAGTTCTGCCTTAAACTACAGCTAAGTATCTCAATTTAGGCTTTTTTCCTGTGAATATTTAGTTAAGAATGCCACATAAAGGTTGAGGCTTGTTGCATCCATGCTGTACAATGTGGTACATTTTACATTATTACCTCAGCATCGCAACTAGTTAACTACAATGCTATAATTTCATATTTCATATTCCAAAATCCCACGCCTGTGTGTTTGTCAGCTATAGCATCCCTTGTTGAACGTCACCAGCACTTAACTTGTTTTATTCCAGCTATCCACAAGAGGGAGGCAGCCAGTTATCAGATATGTACGCAGAGCTCTGTCTAACGTTCTGTATAAATGACAAACATCAATCCTTGTGGATTATTCTCTCTGTAGAGAAAAAAATCCATTATAACAACAACAACAAAAAAATCAGAGGGAAAGTCCATGTGATAATCACCATCTCTCTGCGCTCAAATATAGACAGCCGTAGCTGGCCTGAGCTATGTACCACCTGTGAAATCATGCAGAGAACCATTCTGCTATGGTGCTCTCTGAGGGATTGTAATTCTTTTATACTGTTCTAACATCATAGAAATCCTTTTGGTAAACCTGTTTGATTTTCAATTGAGGCAACTGCACCCTCTATTCTTTACCTTTTTTTTTTTTCTCTTCTTTGTTTTAAAAAGCTGCTTTACCATCCTAGATGCTTTAGGGCCCAGTGACAGGTTCTCTTGAATGCTATCCACTGATACTCATATTTTTCTGCACTTCTTCTATTGCTCAGTTCCTCTGTAATAACCGGTTCTTCTGTTTGTAACATTATGCTCTTCTTCCCAGGATGCAGTGCTCAGACCTGAGCGGACAAATTGCCATGCTTGAACACTTTTATATGGAATGGAGCTCACATATGGTTATGGCTCATGTCGCCATTTGATAAACAGAGTGGCAGAGGAACACAGAGAAGGAATCAGTGAGAAGACGAGGGTAAAGCTGTCACTTTACTCTGAATTGCATTGATGGTGCCATCAGGGGCTGGAGGTCTAAGAACAAGAAGAGCTGGATAGTGATCGCTTGTGTGCCTCCACCAACATGGCGGCCCCTTTGCAGCTCCTGAATGGAAGACAAAGTGAGGCTAGGCAAAACAGGAGCTACAGAATGTTTAGTCACTTCTATATTATTTGCACTCTGTAAAACAGTGGTGGTGCTAGGACACACTGTAGTAGACTGTCAGAGACTGGGAGCATGTTGAAAAAAACTGTGAAAGATATTCACACTTGGTATGTCAGATCCATCAGCACCACGTCCAAAAGTAACAATATACAAATAAAGACAAAAGGGTGAAGGACTTTAAAGGTGCTTATATACCCTCAGGATGAAAACAACTTGTAATTCATAAAATATACGTTTTTATTACACATATTAGAATGGAACATACACACCCTCCTTAAAATCAGATAAGAGAATGAGCCCTTCAGTGCAGTGAATCCCATATCACACTATCCCTATATTGACAGTACCAGACCATGATCTATAGGTCACCAGTATAACAAGCATAAATCAGGGATGGTGATATGAGGGGAAATCCCAATGCGTTTTGCTGAATTGGCTTCTTCAGGGGTTCAAAGGAAGGGAATACAATACCGACGGTTGCTCAGACCAACAAACTCATCCCCGAGAGAGTGAGAGGCAGGTACAGTGGGACAGGACATAGCCGGGACCCCCGGGCCAAGACACACACACAGGGGCACGCACACCACAATGCCTGAGGAAATAGAGACTCCTATTTCATAGCTATTCTCCTCCAAGTCATGAAGACAATTGGCCCACAAAGAATTAGCAAAGTAATATATAACTTGATAGATGTCAAATTGATGTTCCAGAATATTGGTCCACCCTTCATGGGGAAGCAAGAAACCAAATTCAAGTAGGTAATATAAATCTCTGTCCTCTCTTACAAACACCTCTCTCCCAAACTTCAAAAGTGTCAAAGTTGTTTTCACCCTGAGGGTATTTAAGCACAGTCCTTCACCCTTTTTTCTCTACTTGTATAAAGAAACTGTGAAATATACCTGCTATTAAAGGCAGAATTACCTACAGCACCCTTAAAAGAATACTGGTTCCATAGCTGACATTCCTCACAGAAAGATCCATTAGAAAATGTTAAAGAAAAAGTATACAAAGAGAGAAAAAAGAATAGGAAGTACAGAAATAGTAAGAAAGAAAAAAAATCATCATATCAGTAGTCTCCAAACTGGATCATGGGCTGAATATGACCCTTGGGGTACTATTCCTCCCATTTATATAACTCACAATGTCTTTTCATTGAATCCAATATTGGGGCACTATGCCTCCCACTGGTATCAACGATGGGGTACAATTCCTCTCACTGAAACCAACAATAGAGCCCTATTCCTCCATCTGATTCCAATAATGGGTTATTATTTCTCCTACTCATGCCAACGATGGGGCACTATTCTTTTCACTGATACCAATGATGGGTTACTAATTCTCCTACTTATACAATGATGGGACACTATTCCTCCCACTGCCACCAACAATAGGGTACTATTCCTCCCTCTGACATCAACAATGGTGCATTATTCCTCCCACTGATACCAATGATGGGGCAGTATTCCTCCTACTGATACCAAGAACTGGGCACAATTCATCCCAATGATACTAACGGTGGTGCATTATTCCTCCCACTGATACCAATGATGGTGCACTATTCCTCACACTGATTCCAAGAATGGGGCACTATTCCTCTGACTGATACCAATAATGGGCACTATTCCTCCCACTGGGGGCACTATTCCTCCCACTGCTTAAAACAATGGGGCACTATTCCTCCCACTGATACCAAAAATGGTGCATTATTCTTTATACTAATACCAAGAATGGGGCACTATTACTCCTACTGATACCAACAATGGGACACTATTTCTCCCCTTTTTCCAATCATGGAACACTATTCCTCCCACTAATACCAATGATGAGGTGCTGTTTCTCCCACTGAGACCAATAATGGGGCACTATTTCTCCCACTGATACCAACAATGGGACACTATTTCTCCCCCTGCTCTAATCATGGGACACTATTCCTCCCACTGCCACCAATGTTGGTGCACTATTTCTCCCACTAATACCAATGATGGGGCACTATTCTTCCTACTGACACCAACAATGGAATACTATTTCTCACACTGGTACCAATGATGTGGCACTACTCCACCGATTGATACCAATGATAAGGCACTATTGATGAATATTTTCCTACATTGTCCCTAAGTAAGCACCTAGGCAAGGAAAACACTGACAACTACCTGGTGGGGCCAAAGAGCTGCATGCAGCCTCTTGGCTGCAGGTTGGGCACCAGGGCTCTCAAAAGTTCAATCCACCCCACCCCTACAGTTCTATTTTAGTATTTACCAACAAATGTGCAGAAGTTGTTAGATTAGAGGTGAAGTAATAAAAAAGCATCTCAATGCATGCCTCCCTCCACCAAACCCGCTGTCCTAGGCACAGATCCACAAAATACTAGCGCAACTATAGATAAAAGGTACTACATGTAGTGGGCTGTTTTCCTCTATTATAACACTAAAATGGTTTTCACAAAGCAAAGAGAGGCAAAAAAACAAAAAAATAAACAAAGTAAAGGAGAGGAAGACTCCTCCAGCTATTATCCTTTTTTCAGACTTAAATAAAATGAAAGTATATCGGTCTACCATCACTGCTGGTCAGTGCAGACCTAGTACAGCTTGAAAACACGCTGCGAAAACCACCAGAAAAAAAGTCCATTTTTTAAATATAATGAATTATAGAAGGATAGGGTTCTCCTGTTGCCTCTAAGCAAAATAATTGCAGAAAAAAACAATTATTACAATTCCACAGCCACATATGCACTGCAGTTACTGAGGCTATCCCTAAAAACCATCACGGATCTGTAACATCACGTACAACTTTAAAGCGTATCCAAACCCTACGGAAAATTGTAATATATTGCAGCTTATCAATACCTAAACATGGTGACTGCATTCAATTTTTTCATCAAGCTTTTAGCCTTTTTTTTTTCAGCCGGTTATCCGACTAGTAACACATTGCCTGTCCTACAGTGACAATGCACACTCACTGTGCTTTATATATGGAGAACGAAGTTGCTATTTTGACTATAGAACACCTTCACCTCTTCTCATCTCCATAACACCGAGGGGGGGAAGGGTGTTCATAGAGATGACCTGAACAGTGCTGATAACTCTGTACATCCATTATCCATTTCACACAATAGGAATCTACTTTCAGCACTCACAGGAATTTTTCAAATACATGCATTATTTATAAAATCTATGACAATGTATTTATATTAAAAATATTAAAATGAGCAAATAGAGGGCATCGTGCCCTATTGTAATCTCAATACATTAAAAGCATGCGGATACACTTGATTATGACCAATCCAGAACCTGATTGTTTTGGAATCAAACAATATCACAAATATGTCACAAGTTAATGATACTATAGGGTTGGTTTACTAACGGCAAATAGACTGTGCATTCTGCAAGTGCAGTTGTTCCAGAGCTTAGTAAATGAGGGGAAGCTCTGCTGACCTCCATCTTCCAGTCATGTGCAAGCAAAAATGCTGTTTTTTTTCATTTTCCTTGCATGCGATTGGGTATACTTTGCAAAGTGAAGATTCCCCTCATTTACTCTTTAGCTCTGGAGCAAATGCACTTGAAGAGTGCATAGTCTATTTGCTTTTCGTGAATCAACTCCTATCTCTTTGGAGGTCTATGCATTTTGTGCTAAACAAAACACTTCTTCAAGACCCAGTTTGCATTGATCGCAGTTGCTTGGTTATACAGTGACCATACATTTTTAATATAGATTAACATCCATAAGTAAAGCCTAATACATTAATTGCATAAAAATGAATGTTAATGATCACATATAAAACACTCCGTTCATTACAAACAATTCAATCTGAATCTACATAATCTGTCCACCAAGCCCAAGTAAAGATGGAAAGACCATCAACCAAGTATGGCATCACTTTCCAACCAACACTGGACCACTGGACCCCAAAGAAAGAGAGAATGGACCATGAGGCTCAAAGCAAAGCAGCCCACTGGCAGCACTCAAAGTTATCGGGTAAAAAGAGACTGGAGCTATGCCACTGCGAGCTTTCTGTTGGAGTATAGACTTGACATATAAGGAACCAGTGGTTAACTCAGACTTCCAGGCTTCACTTATAATAAAAATATTACTGTAGCAAGGATGGTCCATTTAACAGGTGCAGCAGGGTTTCTCTTAACTGTTTCAATGATTACATATAAAACACTCCGTTCATTACAAACAATTCAGTCTGAATCTACATAATCTGTCCCCCAAGCCCAAGTAAAAATGGAAAGACCATCAGCCAAGTACGACATCACTTTCCAACCAACATCGGACCACTGGATCCCAAAGAAACACATAAAAAAAGAATGGACCATGAGGATTCAAACCAAAGCAGCCCACTGGCAGCACTCAAAGTTATCGGGTAAAAAGAGACTGGAGCTATGCCACTGAGAGCTCTCTGTTGAAGTATAGTCTTAACCAGGGGCGGACTGACAACTCATGGGGCCCCCGGGCAATAGGGGATCCTTGGGCCCCTGTGTCCTTGCCCAAACTCAAAAAAGCCTATGAAAAAGGTACCAGGGGCATCTCATGGGGCCCCCTACTGACCCCGGGCCCTTGGGCAGTGCCCGAGTTTCCAAATGGTCAGTCCGCCCCTGGTCTTGACATATAAGCAACCAGTGATTAACTCAGCCTTCCAGGCTTCACTTATTACAAAAACATTACTGTAGCATGGATGGTCCATTTAACAGGTACAGCAGGGGTTCTCTTAACTCTTTAAAAAAAGATGAGTAAATGATTCAGCCTTCCAGATGTGTGCTCCAACCTGATTCAGAACCCTACTCTTTTCTTCCTCGCTGATTTTGAAATAAGAATGACTCAATAAGCCCTGGAAGATGGGTGCCTTCTCCCTAATGGCACAAAGACCATAATTAGGGACAACACATACTTTACTGTAGGCCATGACCTTCTTGCTGTATTGGAAATGGGATTGTAGAAAAAAAATTATGATAGCAGCTAGTAAGTTCTGACATTTTTCGGGAAGAATATGTAGTTAAGTTTTGTTGATCCTTACAACCCTGTACATTTTTCAGAGAAAATGCTGAGACTTAAGTTAGCAATGTAAAATATCACTAGCTGTTGGCTATCATTAATTGTGAGGTTCTACTAAGGAAAACAATTAAGTAACTGCAGGTGGATATAAATTAAAGTAACTCTGTCGCCACTCCATGCCTACTCACATACCCATACATCAAGCTGGTTTTATTTTTTAAATTTGCTCTCCCAGCATACTGAAAACAGACTTTATATTATCAAGCATCTTCAACACTTCCATAGGGTCGGAGGCTGTGCACTCCACCAAGAGCCAGCTATCCCCTTCTTTGCCCATGTCCACATCAACCATTGTCCTGGCAGAGGCCAGGAAAACCTCATATGTGTAAAGGGGTGTTTGTCCCTATAATTTACAGTCCCATTTAAATGTTGTTGGCCAACCTTTACCTGCCACTCTTATTTGCTTATATACTTTGCTTAGTATATAAGCCGTGGTATGTGAAGTTATTGGTGCAGTGAAACAGCAGAGCAGTTAGGAGGGACTTTTCTTATGCCAAGGCCATATGGACATTATGTGAATGCTCTTGGCTCTTGGGGGTGTAATCCCCTTTAGGAAGTGTTGGAACTACTCCACAGTGCACATGTGTCACATACAAGGCTCACAGGCTGAATCCGGCCCGCCAGGCCATTTCATGTGGTTCTCCCACTTCTTAGTCTCCACCCCCACCTTGTCTCCGCAGTCAGTAGCAGAGAGGAGGACAGAAATCCTCCACCAGATCCTGCACTTCTCTATGCAGCTATGGAGAGGCTTGTCTCTACCCCACCCCCCCATTTCAGCAGCCGACAGCAGAAAGGGGGACAGAGCTCCTCCTGCAGACCATGCACCTCTCTGTGCAGCAACAGAACCTCCTCATTTCCACCTCCCCTGGTCTCAGCATTCAGCAGACTCCGGCAGCCAGACTCCATACCTCCTCTGGTCCTCCTCCAGACCCTGCACTTTCTGCTTCCCACCTCCATCTTCTCCCCGTCAGCAGCACTGTGATGTAAGGGAGGGTGGACGACTCTTGACATATGAAGTAAGGGTGAGGGGGGGGGTGCTATGGTCATCTAGCCTTACAAATACAACCAGTCCTTTGAGGACAACCATAATGCTGATATGGCCCTCAATTAAATAGAGTTTGACACCCTTCCCTAGTGGAACAGGGATGGAAGAAGGATTGTTGTTCCTTGGTTAAGATGACAATGAAAGATAGTGGAACCATAGGAACACAGGACAATCTTTTATATCATGGGGAAGTTCTGTTGACAAAGAAACCTCAATGGGAATGTGTGAGGGTAGACATTGGTGAAAGATGGAGACCTCTGTAGTAGCTTTATACTGGCAGATAATCTGTCTATGCCGAGCTGGATTCTGAACAGAGTTCCCAAGGAGGTGATGATATAAAATGGATGATGATCCTCATTCACATTTGTGACACTTGAGGTGTGTTGGGAATTTGGGACTTTGGTGAGCTCCAGCAGGGAATACTTTAAAGTCACTGTATAAGGTTTGAGCTTCACTCAGTTGTCTGAGGGCCAGTTCACACTATATGCATTTCATTGTGCTTTTTTATGCATCCAAAACGCACAGAAAGTAGGTTATATGGTTGTCCATGTCATAGTTCACATCAGTGCTTGCAGTTCCAGTGCATTCCAGATGCAGAAAAAAAAAGTAGAACGGGCTGCATTTATCCTGCTCATAAGTGTACTGGAACGTGGTAAAATGCATCAAAAAACGCACTGAAATGCACCAAAATTCACCAAAACGCACGGGAATGCACATGTCCCTATTTAAATTGAAGAAAAATAGAGGGGAAAAAATTAACTGGAACGCATCAAAAACTCACCAGAACGTGTCAAAAATACATAAAAAATGCACCTGAGCACATAAAAAACGAGCATGTGGAAACACATCTGGAATGCATTTCTATAGTGTGAACCGGCCCTGAATGTAGAAGATAACCAGGTGCCCAGCAGGCAGATTTCTGACTGTCCTGATTGGAAGATAAGTGACGTGCTGTGTCTCCAGGGGTTCATTACTCTCCGAGGTGACCCCTCTTTACATCTTGTCTCACACGATCTGCACAGTCTGTCAATATGTATCCTTTACATTGCTCATCTGGCAAGATCAACAGGTATTTTTTTCACTCCTTTTAACAGATATAAAAAAAAATGCTTTCAATGAAATGTTTAACAGACCAAAACGGAGCAGTTATGACAAGTTCATTGTTTGGGTTTATATATACTTTAACAACCGATGAGAAAAATGTAAAGATTCATATAAACTAATGGCTTTCAGTGGCAAAATAACAATTTAATAAGAAAAAAAAATGACAATTCCATAATGTATGTGATATTAATGTATGTGAACTAAGCGTTTTGATGAGAAAATTATTGCTACTTAAAATAATGAACACAGCCAACGTTGACCCTTATATGGTCTGCTGGGCACTGTAGACAGAAAAGACACATCTTAGCAGTACCTTCCCAGAATGTTGATTTTTTGCTTGCAGTGAGTGATGTCAGTACAAAGAGCTTTCAGCAATAAAGCCGAGTAAAAAAGAAAATGTTTCTCCAAATGCCCTTGCCCCCTAACCTAAAAACCAAATGACCTATTGAAGGTTTTATCCCCTTCATGGCATTTTTTGCTATTCAGCACTGTGCCACTTTAACTGGCAATTGAGCGGTCATGCAGCACACTACCCAAATGAAATTTATAAATGATTCTTTTCACAGAAATAAAGCTTTCTTTTGGTGGTATTTGATCACCACTGGGATTTTTATTTTAAATATATAAATGAAAAGTTTGAAAAAAAAAAAACAAAACAATGTTTTCTACTTTCTGTTATAAAACATATCCAATAAAAAAAATCAAACAATCAAACAATTTCTTCATAAATTTAGGCCAAAATGTATTCTGCTACAAAAAAAATCCCAATAAGTGTATATTAATTGGTTTGTGTGAAAGTTATAGCATCTACAAATGATGGCATATATACTGGAATGTATGCAGCTATAGACGCTACACTGGTAATGGCGGTGATCAGCAGCTTATAGTGTGATAATGCAGCGGGCAATCTGGCGCTAACAGACACTGGCTGGGAGGTACAGTAACTGACACTAATGTTGCATGTGACACTAATACAGTGATCAGTGATAATACTGTACACAGTACTAATGATACCAGCTTGGGAGAGGTTGATATCTAGGGGAGAAAAAGAATAAAACAGGGCGCACTCTCCTTGTGCATTAACGCATTAACCAAAAATGTAATAAATAGATGCAAAAACATATTCACAAGCCATAAAAGGTCATGAAAACAGAGACAAGAAGTTGAAGGTGCCAGTCGTGGACATGATGCGTCCTTGAGTAAAGTGCTCTGAGGAAGGGAATTCAACTCCCCAAACGCGTTAGCACTTTACCCAAGGACGCATGCTGTCCACGACTGGCACCTTCGACTTCTTGTCTCTGTTTTTATGACCTTTATGGCTCGTGAGTATGTTTTTGCATGTTTTGAATACATTTTTGGTTATTGCGTTAATGCACAAGGAGAGTGCGCCCTGTTTTGTTCTTTTTTGCTAGTATCAAGATTCCCCGATCTATCAAGGGAGGCACCTCAGCAAGTGCACTATTCCATTTTGAGTCCAACAAGAAAGATTTGAGTGCCGGTTTCTGGTTACTGTTGGTGATATCTAGGGGCAATAAAGGGGTTAACTGTGTGCCTAACAAGTGTAATGTGTTCTGCTTTTACTCAGAGATTTGGCTGCTTTTTCTCCCTGCTTTTCAGGGAGAAGAAACAGCCAGATTGCTGTTCTGTGTTCACAGAGTTCAGTGTGTTTGTAAACACAGAAGAAGGGATGGACGCTGCTCAACCGACCCCAGAAGTCCAATGTTGAGGAATGGCCTCAGCCGCTGTTCTGGCCACGCCCCCTGATTCCTTTCACCCTGCCCACCAGGGGTCTCTGTCACCAAGCCCCAGTGGGCAGGGTGAAATGCATCAGAGGGCGTGGCCAGAACAGAGGTTGAGGCCACTCCTCAAATTGGACTCCTGGGGTCAGTTGAGCAGCGTCCATCCCTTCACTAGTATTGGCTGACATTGGAATTGCTGAGACTCATGCTCCCCTCTTCTCACTTGCTGGTGGGGCGAACCTTTTCCTTCCATCACAGCTTGGAGCGGCGTCATAAGGTATACTATTCACTTTGTAAACACAGAACTCTGCGCTGTGATTGGACAGAGCCAATCAGCAGGTTTCTGCCAAAATCATTGGTTAAAATCTGCTGTCCAATCACAGCCTGGGTCAGCAGGGGGCACACACCTGCTGGTACATATACATTGCCGTGCCTACACCTGCCTAATGTGAGCGGTTCAGCAAGTGGCTAAGGTGCATCTCAAATCCAAACTTTGTTTTCTTTCGGTTATAGTAGGGAAGAATTAGTAGCTCAGATGAGTTTTACACCCCGGGCACATCAAACCTGACTTAGAAATAATGTCACTTACATTGAAGTCGCACGATTTGAAAGTCGGGTGACCTGCTGATTTCAGGTGCGAT